ACCCCCCGCCCCCTGAGACCCCTCCCCAAATCCCCAGACCCCTGAGACCCCTCCCCAAATCCCCAGACCCCCCCAGTCTCTGCCCTCTCCTCTCCCCCCAACTCTGTCACCACCCTCGGCGCCCGCTGTTAATTAACGCCCCCTCCCCAATTAATTTGGGGTGTGGTCTCGGTGTCCCCCCCCCGTTAATTAACACCCCCTATTAATTTGGGGTGTTAATTAATTAACCCCAATTAATTTGCGGTGTTGTCCCAGTGCCCCGCAGCCCCCTGGAGTGGCTGTCGGTGTCCCCCCCCCGTTAATTAACGAACCCCAGTTAATTCGGGGTGTTAATTAACGAACCCCAGTTAATTCGGGGTGTTAATTAACGAACCCCAGTTAATTTGGTGTGTTAATTAACGAACCCCAGTTAATTTGGGGTGTTAATTAAAGAACTCCAGTTAATTAGGGCTGTGTCCCCAGCCCCCTGGAGCGGCTCTCAGTGTCCCCCCCCCGTTAATTAACGAACCCCAGTTAATTCGGGGTGTTAATTAACGAACCCCAGTTAATTTGTGGTGTTAATTAACGAACCCCAGTTAATTCGGGGTGTTACCTAAGGAACCCCAGTTAATTAGGGCTGTGTCCCCAGCCCCCTGGAGCGGCTCTCGGTGTCCCCCCCGTTAATTAACGAACCCCAGTTAATTCGGGGTGTTAATTAACGAACCCCAGTTAATTCGGGGTGTTAATTAACGAACCCCAGTTAATTTGTGGTGTTAATTAACGAACCCCAGTTAATTAGGGCTGTGTCCCCAGCCCCCTGGAGCGGCTGTCGGTGTCCCCCCCATTAATTAACGAACCCCAGTTAATTCGGGGTGTTAATTAACGAACCCCAGTTAATTCGGGGTGTTAATTAACGAACCCCAGTTAATTAGGGCTGTGTCCCCAGCCCCCTGGAGCGGCTCTCGGTGTCCCCGGTGCTGGGGTTCCTGCTGAACGTTCCCTCCCGGCCCCGCCTGGGGGCGCTGCAGCTGCCGCTGGCCCGGCCCCACTGGCTCAGCGTGCGGCGCCTGGGCCGCACCTTCTACAACCTGGACTCCAAACTGGCCGCGCCCGCCGCCATCGGCAGCGAGCCGCAGCTCAGGTGGGTCCAGGTGAGGGCAGGTGCGATCAGGTGGGCTCCCAGGTGGGCTCAGGTGGGCTCCCACGTGGGCTCAGGTGGGCTCCCAGGTGGGCTCAGGTGGGGGCAGGTGGGCTCTCAGGTGAGGTCAGGTGGGCTCGGGTGGGTTCAGCTGAGCCCCAGGTGGGCTCAGGTGGGTTCAGGTGGGTTCAGGTGAGCTCCCAGATGAGCTCAGGTGAGCTCAGGTGGGCTCAGGTGAGCTCCCAAGTGGGCTCTGGTGGGCTCAGGTGAGCTCAGGTGGGCTCAGGTGGGCTCCCAGGTGCGGTCAGGTGGGCTCAGGTGAGTCCAGGTGAGCTCAGGTGAGCTCGGGTGGGTTCAGCTGAGCCCCAGGTGGGTTCAGGTGGGTTCAGGTGAGCTCCCAGATGAGCTCAGGTGAGCTCAGGTGGGCTCAGGTGGGCTCCCAGGTGAGGTCAGGTGGGCTCGGGTGGGTTCAGCTGAGCCCCAGGTGGGCTCAGGTGGGTTCAGGTGGGTTCAGGTGAGCTCCCAGATGAGCTCAGGTGAGCTCAGGTGGGCTCAGGTGAGCTCCCAAGTGGGCTCTGGTGGGCTCAGGTGAGCTCAGGTGGGCTCAGGTGGGCTCCCAGGTGAGCTCAGGTGTGCTCAGGTGAGTCCAGGTGCGCTCAGGTGAGTCCAGGTGAGCTCAGGTGAGCTCAGGTGGGCTCAGGTGTGATCAGGTGGGGTCAGGATCAGGTGAGCTCCCAGGTGAGGTCAGGTGGGCTCAGGTGTGCTCAGGTGGGCTCCCAGGTGAGGTCAGGTGCGCTCAGGTGAGTCCAGGTGAGCTCAGGTGAGCTCGGGTGGGTTCAGCTGAGCCCCAGGTGGGTTCAGGTGGGTTCAGGTGAGCTCCCAGATGAGCTCAGGTGAGCTCAGGTGGGCTCAGGTGGGCTCCCAGGTGAGCTCCGGTGGGGGCAGGTGGGATCAGGTGGGATCAGGTGGGCTCAGGTGTGTCACAAGTGTGTCACAGGTGGGCTCAGGTGGGCTCCCAGGTGAGCTCAGGTGAGCTCAGGTGTGTTTGGGTTGGCTCAGGTGAGCTCCCAAGTGGGCTCAGGTGAGTTCAGGTGGGCTCAGGGGTACTGGGGGTCTCACCTGGGGGGTGTCACCTGGGGGTGTCACCTGGGGGTGTCACCTGGGGGTCTCACCTGGGGGTGTCACCTGCAGGGAGTTCCTGCGGCGGGTGTTGGATGAGGGGAGCTCGGAGCTGTTCCTGGTGGTGCCGCGGGAGGTGGAGGAGGAGGGGACGTGGTTGAGCCCGGAGTGACACCTGAACAACACCTGAACAACACCTGAACAACACCTGAACGACACCTGAACGACACCTGAACGACACCTGAACGACACCGAGAGACACTGAGTGACACTGAGTGACACCTGAACAACACCTGAACGACACCTGAACGACACCTGAACAACACCTGAACGACACCTGAACAACACCTGAACGACACCTGAACGACACCTGAACGACACCTGAACGACACCGAGTGACACTGAGTGACACTGAGTGACACCTGAACAACACCTGAACAACACCTGAACAACACCTGAATGACACCGAGTGACACTGAGTGACACCTGGGTGACACCTGAATGACACCTGAGTGACACCTGGGTGACAGCGGGGTGACAGCGGGGTGACACCCGTGCAGTTTTGGGGTTGTTCCGGGTGTTTCTGCGAGTCCTGGGCTGTCTCTGCTCTGGAATTCCGGAGGGAAAGGGATGAGAAGCGATGGTTGGGAGCTTTGTGTCCCCGTGCTTGTTTGGAAATCGCCAAATTCCACCCCAAAATCCCCAAATTTCACCCCAAATCCCCAAATCCCAGCCCAAATCTGATTTTCACCCCCAAACCCCCAAATTTCACCCCAAAATCCCCAAATTTTGCCACAAAATCCCCAAATTTTGCCACAAAATCCCCAAATTTCACCCCAAAATGCCCCAATTCCAGCCTAAATCCCTGATTTTCACCCCAAAATCCACAAATTTCATCCCAAAATCCCCAAATTTCACCCCAAAATCCCCAAATTTCACCCCAAAATCCCCAAATTTCACCCCAAAATTCCCCAATTCCAGCCTAAATCTCTGATTTTCACCCCAAAATCCACAAATTTCATCCCAAAATCCCCAAATTTCATCCCAAAATCCCCAAATTTCAACCCAAAATCCCCAAATTTCATCCCAAAATTCCCAAATTCCAGTCCAAATCCCTGATTTCCACCCCCAAATCCCTAAAATTTCTCCCTAAAATGGTCCAATTCCAGCCCAAATCCCCAAATTTTGCCACAAAATCCCTATTTTTCACCCCCAAATTCCCAGATTTTACTCCAAAATTCCTGAATTTCACCCCCAAATGCCGGAATTTTACCCCAAAATCCCCAAATTTCAACCCGAAACGGTCCAATTCCAGCCCAAATCCCTAAATTTTTCCCCCAAATCCCCAAATTCCGCCCCAAAATTCCCAAATTTCACACAAAATTCCCAACTTTAACCCCAAAATTCCCAATTTTACCCCAAAATTCCCAAATTTCACACAAAATTCCCAAATTTAACCCCAAAATTCCCAAATTTCACACAAAATTCCCAAATTTTACCCCAAAATTCCCAAATTTCACACAAAATTCCCAATTTTAACCCCAAAATTCCCAATTTTAACCCCAAAATTCCCAATTTTAACCCCAAAATTCCCGCTTTTCTCCCCCTCAGCACCGGGGGCGGGAAAGCCGGGATGGGGGCGTTACCAAGCATCGCCCGTGTGTTCTGATTGGTTCTCCACTTTGATTGACAGCTGCATTCATCACGCGCAGCCAATCAGCGCGCGGCGCGGTGGTTGGAGAGTGCGGCTCAGAGTCCCCGGATTTCAGCCCAAAATCTCCGTTTTTCGCACACAAATCCCCGAATTTCCCCCCCGAACCCCAGGATTCCACCCCTAAAACACCGAAATTTTCACCAAAATCCCCGAATTTCATTCCAAAAATCCCCAAATTTCCTCCGCGCGTTGCCGGACGGGAGAGGTGGGAAACCTGAGGCGGGGGGCGTGACCACCCCATAACGGCGTTCTGATTGGCTCTCCACTGTGATTGACACCCTCTCCTCACCCGCCCAGCCAATCAGCTCGGAGCATTCGCGTTCGACGCCGCGCAGCTCAAAATCCTCGAATTAACACCCGAAATACCCAAGTTTTGCCCCAAAATCATCGTATTTCACTCAAAAATCCCCGAATTCCCTCCAAAACCTGTGAATCCTACAAAGAAACCCCCAAATTCTACCCCAAAACCCCCGAAATTCTCCCCCACAGGGCACAGAGCGGGAGGTGGGAAACCTGAGGCGGCGGCGCGACCGCCCCCGAGACGCGCTCTGATTGGTTCTCCAGCTTGATTGACACCCCTTCGGAGCTTGTCTAGCCAATCAGGACGCAGCGTTGGTCCTCTGGTGGCGCCGGCGCAGTGGCGCTCGCGGCTCTCCCTGGTGGTCTAGTGGTTAGGATTCGGCGCTCTCACCGCCGCGGCCCGGGTTCGATTCCCGGTCAGGGAAATAAAATCTCGCCTGATTTGTTTTACTTTTATTATTATTTTTCCCTTTTCCCCCGTTTTTTCAAAGCCTCGCGGGCCCTCTTTTCTTTCTCCCCCATAATTAGCGTTTCGTTTGTAAGGAATTTATTCGATTTAAAAGAAAAACGGGTGATGTGATGAATTTTAAAAAAACTTAGAAAAATAATAATGAAAATAAAATCGGACGGCGCTGTCGCGATATCGCCGCGACAGAAGCTGAGGCACCGCTGGGATTCGAACCCAGGATCTCCTGTTTACTAGACAGGCGCTTTAACCAACTAAGCCACGGCGCCGCGCGCTCTCCGCCCCGCCCTCAACCCCCATC